CATACAGGTTTGGTACATCATGAGGTTGAGTAAATCATTTTTGGATGGACTATCCCTTTAAGAAATGATATAACACATTCTATTGTGTATTATTTGATAAATATCATGAGCAAGAGTGCAGGATCAACCACTGTGTTAGGTTAATGCTAGATTGAAAATATAAGTTTGGGAAGGTAGAATGTTTCATAAAGTTATACATTTTGGGAATGTCTTCATGTAATTTCTGTTATTTCATTATCCGAAACAAGATAATAGCGCAGGAAGACAGTTGTTTCGTTGGAAATAAATGAGCTGATGTGAGGCAGATCATGAGCGGACACTGACTCAGGCAGTTTCTCTAAATAACTAATAAGGGATGTAACTCCTCAGAGAAAACTCAGAGAGAACTGCAAATCAAAGTCTAAGTGGAGTCCCCTAGGGACAGCTTCACTGAAGATAATTAAAAAGAAAACTGTTGCTGCTCCTGTTCTTACATGTATGTTCATTCTATCTCTTCAGGAGGCCTGTTGCACAACGCAGTTAGAAAAAACAGACCTCATCAAACTTTTATCTTCTCCTAAAAAGCATGTCTTGACAGTATCTTTTAATTCTGTCTTTATAGGTCTTTGACTATAACGCAATTAGCTAAAAGCAGCACTAAGAAGGAACGACAGTAATTTTAAGAGTTTAAATGAAACATCAAGGAAAACAAGCAAACGCCACAGTAGCATGAATATTACAATTGAAACGACATGCTGAAATTAAACATCAATCTGCATTGCCAAACAAATATAACTTGTCATAATAGATATAATGTGGGGGGGAAATATTTAATTACTTCTGAATCATTTCAGGAGTACAATATTTTACAATTCATTGTTGAATTCTTTGGATTGTTTGAAGCATCTAAAGTGACGGTAAAGACATTTAGGTTTAAAAAAAATGTGAATGTGATTCTATTGAACATTATAATTAAAGAATCCTTAAAAAATGTATCACAGTTTCCATAAATATTAAGCAGCAAAACTGTTTTCAACATTGATAATAATACAAAATGTTTTCGAGCAGCAAATCAGCATATTAGAATGATTTCTAAAGGATCATGTGACACTGAAGACTGGAGTAATGATGCTGAAAAAATTCAGCTTGGATGTCTATATTTAATTTATGTAATGCATATATTTTAGTACATATATTTTAAATTATAATGATATAATTTCAATTAAATTAAAAGTTAAATTAAATATTTTAAATGTAATTATAAAATATAATTATATATTTCACAATATTATTACTTTTACTGTATCATCGATTAAATAAATGTATGTATTTTTTATTTAATAAATTCCTTTCAAAAACATTTGAAAAATTTACATTAGATTGTGGGCACCTGTGTGAGGAGATAAACATTATCTTGAGAGGCTTGCATAAATTAGGGCTGATGGGGAGGTTTGAGTGACAGGTCTGACATTTGAACAGGGATTTTTTCTCCCAAAGAATAAATAGCACATGAATGAGCAAACCATAGTCTGACTGTTACCATCGAGCGGCCAGACCACTCACCATTCAACCCATCAGCGCTCATTAAACGGGAGGGCTAAGTGTGTATATTCAAACGCAGAAGATCACAGAGAGAAGGAGCTCTGACTACCTATGATTAAAGAAGCATAATGGAAGTTGTTAATGCTGCTGCCGCACTCGCTCTATCGTCCACTCTCTCCTCTCAGTACTAATTAAATGTCATCACACAATCAGAATCATGAATATCCAGTCAGGCATGGCTGCTCATCCAGCAGTGTCTGAGGTTACGTGTTCAAGACGGCAAAACATGTTCACCCGCAATGCGGACATGCCATCCGCGGCCCGTCTTCACTTGTTTATAGAACTTCAGTGACATGGAGAGAGAAGTATAATCACTACAACATTGTCGATTCCACTCTGCAGAGTCTGAGTCATGGCGAGAAATGACAGGGAGAAATGACACAGTCTAATTAAGATCCTCTGAAGCCTCTCCATGCCCCATCACAGGAGACATCCACAGGAAAGCGGTGTGCTGCTCTCCCTCACACCACTGACATTTCAACACTGCTGAGACAGAACAATCAGTTCATACAGGAGCTCACAGAGACATACACTGTCTGTATGTTCTGATATGCTGGATGACAGACAGATTTATCACTGTGAATCAGTGCAGGTTAAGGTCATTTTCCATACCAACACAGCAAATTACTTGTAAAAAAATTGCACTGCATTGTGGGATAAGAGTGTAAGTCAATTGACCATTATGGTGATTATTTTTCTCATTGGCTGGGACTTTTACTTTTAATTATTATTTCTCATCCATTGTAATTGATGAGAAAGCGCTAGTCTGGCGGTGGTAATTAATGAGAGTATTATATACTGTATATAGTTATATTGATAAAATAATACTTTTATTTAGCAAGGATGCATTAATTTGATCAGAAGTGACAGTAAATACTTTTACATTGTTACAAAAATAATAATAAAAAGGAATAAATTGCATTTTAAAATATATTCAAATAGAAAACAGCTAAATTGCTTAAATTGTAATAATATTTCAATTTTACAGTATTACTGATAGATGCAGCCTTGATGGATAATAAACTTTTCAAAAACATTTAAAAATATTACGACTGCAAACTTTTGAATAGTAATGACTGTAACAAAACAATTATGGAGGAAGGAGGCTTGCAATACTGTTGTGGTTCTGCAGCAGTATTAATTTATTCATATTACAGTGCACACTGGGAACCAAAGTGACAGCATAGTGATGTGGACACCCAACCATTATGTCAGCATAAACTAACTTGTTTAGGACTGTCACTGTTAAACATTTGGCATTTGAGAATTCAAAAAGATTCATCAACACTTTGCTTTTGTTTTCGGTCTTGTAGACAAATCTGGTATCAACTGCAATGCCAAGAATTACATAATAATAATACTAACAGCAAAAAGTGAGCACTCATGTTATCCAAAGTGCACACTGCCATATAGCTGCAGGCGCTGCTGAACATAAAACCCACGCTAAAATGTCTGAGAGATGTTACCTGTGAAACTGAACTCATGATTTACTCATCACAGCTTAGATTCTTAATGACTCCCAGCCAACGTACCAATTTGTAATTATACTTAAAGTAGTAATTGTCCCCTCCAAAAAAGGAAGGGTATAATTATCGCTATGTTGATGGAATGATGTTCACAGGAAAAACTGCAAAAAACATTATATGAGCTCTGTTCCAAATCACAATGAGCTGCCTTCCTGTCTTCTGTCTACATAGGCAGCTGGCTTCTAAGGCAGCATTGTAACTGAAACGGAAGTGCAAAAGAGACTCGCTTTATGTCAGACTCCTCACATAAAATGCACAGCACACTCAACTGATTCCAAACTAATTTAGCATTAGCCTGCTCCTAAGCTAACAGTGATAAGTACACAAATCTTCTTGAAAACTCATTTTCAACTACTCTGAAATGATTCTATTGATAATTTTCAATACTGAATGAAATGTGTTCATTAATAATCTATGGTGGCCGAGAGAGCTCAACATGCTGCAACTTAAGAAAGCATATGCAAATAGAAAAAGCACCAGCAAATTAAGAGAACATCTTCATCAGTTTGACAATACATGGGCTGCAAACACTCACAACACAATCAAATAAAGAAACACGCTGCAAATACTCACAACACAACCAAATATAGAAATGTGCTGCAAGTAGCACAGACCACAACGGAAATGTTTCATGGGGACCCCAACAACCCTCACATAAATTAACCAGGGTATTATTATTATAAAAGTTACCATGGTTTAACTATAGTAACCATGTTTTTTTTTATAGTAACATGTACAGTATATACATATGTATTTTTTGAAATATATCAACAACAGCCACACATTTATACTGCCCCCCCCCTTTAAAAGAGGCTCACATATCAGATAGACATTTAATTATATTGCAGAACCTGGATATCTGTCTGTAATGTTAGCTTTAAGCATCAACTAGACTTAAATGTGTTGCCTACAGATGTGAAAGCTGTCTGGTGCCTGAACTCAGCCGCTGACATTTCTCTCTCTGAGACCTACTGCACTATCCCTCCCTGTGCCCTTAAAACCCACAGCCATTGACCTCATGTTGCCAGCTTCACCCCCTTTTAATTAGGATTTTAACTGGTGACCTTTGAGAGTCCAGTAACTGTGTAGAGAGAGACATTTCATCTCCGGCCCTGCGCACCAGTAGCACAGAGTAAAAGCGATGCAGCACTCATGGCACTTTAATCTGCCTTTCAAAGAGCTGCTGTCTTCCTCTCATTAGACACTGTGGCATTAGGCTTGTGTCCAGTCCAAGTGGATGTGCAGCTCTATCTAATCTTCAGAAATACTGCCATGTACCACAAACCAGCGGTGAAAATGAGAAATTGCTTAACTACAAACACAGTTTAGTAATCTGCCAATAGCGACACAACAGCAGTGCCGCTGAGAAATCACTAGACCCCAAACATTTAAAAAAAGATTTGAACATCTTCAGCATGTGAATCTATATGATTACTGTGAACCGTTGCGTCATTTGCAACTGAAATCGAAACATAAATGAGACATGATGAAAGAATCATCATAATGCAACACTAAAATACTATGGTGTAGCAGAGTAAGCCAGTAAAATAAACAACTCATAAACTAACAGAAGTAAATTGCTTCCCCTATCTTGTGTTTTGTGCCCAATCAAACTTTATGGTGCTTTGCTGTCACTTGGTAGAAGTCAAATTAGACTAATGCCAACATGGACAGGTTGCATGATATTCCCCTTATATGCAAAGAGCCATGAACAAAATTTGCAAAAATGTAGAAACCAATAAATAAACGTATTAAATTTTACAGACAATTCTCGTTCACACATTTTGGCATGGTACACATTTTCGCTGTTCAGTCACCAATTTATGTCCAATATGAAATCCTGAAGCAAAACCAGTTGCAAAAACACTGAATAAAAACAAACTGGCATCTCACCTGGGGGAAATATCACAGCCCTGCTGCATGAAAGCTCCCAATGAGAACCAGAGACTGTTGAAGATGCCAAACTCGTTGGTCTGCTCCTGACTCTGCTGGTTCTGGGTCTGCTGGCCCTGACCCGGCTGCGCGGATGACGAGGAGGGCTGGTTAGGGTTCTGCTCAGCTCCTTCCTCGCAGTCCTCTGCGTGCCACTCGTAGGGACTGAAGCGGCTGACTAGGAAAAGCACCACACTCACACCAATATAGGCAAACACAATACACATCCAGATCTCATAGGCCAGAGGGTCCAGGAAGGAGAACACACCAGGCTTGGACTTGGTAGGCTTTTTGATCATGATGGAGATGCCAAGGCTCATGAAGGGCTTGGAGAAATCAATGACTTCCTCCCTGACCAGGGTGATTGTCAGTGGGGCCACAGCTACGTCAGCTTTCTGCAGAAGAATATATAATGTTATTGCAATAACTACTAAATATATATTGTTAAATATGTAATTAAATTACACATGGACCCAGGAAAGGAAGAAGTCAGGACACAGGCCCGCTTGAGTCATTTTTCTTACTTGTTGTTTTTATTGGAAATAGGTATACTATAAATACAGAGTGGACTTTTATAACCTCTCAACCTCTATCTAAACACCTTTCCAGGAAGAATTTTCTCATTCTGTGTTATTATTACTGTGGTGAAAATATGAACCCTTTCGGTTCAATTACTGTAACCTCCTCTCATTCTGAATGAAGTCTGGTTATCTACACTAATGATTAGATTTCTCAGTACAGGAATGGTGATTAAAATGATTCAGATTTTAAAACCAGATGAACCAGGTAAAAAGCTATTGTGTTACTTGTGTTCTCTTGCACAGTCCTTAAAGCTTTGACATTCAGATCTGAGAAAATAAGATGTAGCACTTACACCATAGACAAGCTCTCCCACCATCCCATTCCACATCATGGTCTCAGGATCTCTGGCTCCATATTTCCCATCAGCCACTATCTTGAGTATGTAGTGGTATCCCACGTGTTTGGCTATCTCAGCTGCCAGTTCCACACAGTAACCTTCATACTTATCATTTCCTGTAAACTGCTCGTGGTTCTTCTTCAGCATGACATATGGCGATTCCTAGTCAGGACACACAGGTAGACAGCCATATACAGTGGACAACAAATATTTACAGTATGCTTGTGTAACAGACCTGATATTCTAAACTAAAAAATGTCTGAACAATTTTTTATTATTTTTTATTTTGTTATATAATATTATATTATTACATTTTTTGACAATTTATATAAAATTATATATATTTATATTTTCTGATTAAAACAGTTCATACTAAAAATACATACTATAAATACAGTATAACACAAATTATACATATTATATATATATA